GTTCAGCAGGAGGCTGGTATGAATTCTGATTTGGATTTTGTTTATGCTTTCTGAAGATCAGAAAACCAACAACAGCAGCACCAAGAAGCAAAGCAGAAACTGACAGACCAACTATCGGTCCAACAGATCCTGCCTCCTTCTCTTCATCCTCTGTGTGTCCTCCTGTCTGACCTGCAGGTGAGAAACAGGTGTGAGGTGTCAGCTGTCAGGTAGGTGATGAGTGAAGAACAGAACAGAATCCATTTCCTCTTCAAACTGCTGTCAGACATTATCTACTGCACTCTGATCACATCACTCAGACCAGCTGCTTTCTACAAAGTCTCATCAACAACATCTTTAGAAACAAACATCAACAACCAGGAAGCAGCTTCACCTCTGATCACACACACACTCAACTCTGCTCACTCACCTGGAGGATCAACAACTCTCAGGGCGATGATGCTGATGGGTTTATCATTTAAAATTGCTCTCTTTCTACGTTTTGTTCCTGTCTTGACACGACACTCATATGTTCCATTGTCATTAGTCGTCACATTCTTCAGACTCAAAGACACGTCTCCTTCCTTCATCTGTCTGTCCTGCAGATTCACCCGGTTCTTAAAAGATGGATGCTGGTTTTCTTTATCAAATCGCCCATCCCGATAAAAAAGAACATATTCGTTTTCCAGGTCAGCTCTGCTCCACTCTACACCTATGATGTTGTTGTTTGGAGCTTGACATGTCAGAGTGACGTCCTGTCCAGACTCAGCTGTGATGTTTTTCTGGTCTGAAAGAGGAAACAACACAGAGCAGAGAGGTTAAAGGTCAAGGTACAACTGTTCACTTCTCTTTTTGGTTGTTTCTATTATTTTATTTAATCATCTTAAACACTAATGACTGTGTTACTTTAGAAATTTTGCTCAGGGTGGTTTTTTTGTGTGTGTTTTTAGTTTTTGGCTAATGGAAAGCTGTATTATTTAAACATCAGATGAACTGAGAGTGCTGTGTGCACCAATACTGAACAAAATGAGAGCTGTAAACACTGAGAGGATAAAGTGGAGATCA